TTCCTGCGTTGCTGGAGAATTTGTGTGGCATGTCTTGCTCTGGAACTTATTGGTTCTTGGGTGGTGGTTGGTTTCACTATAGGTATGGAGGCTTTTGAGTGATCTCTTATTGCTTAATGTTCCCTGTAGTCAGGAGTTCTCTGGTGTTCTCAGGTTTTGGGCTTAAGCCTCCTGCCTCTGGATTTCAGTCTTTTTCTTCCAGTAGCCTCAGGACTTCTCCATCCATACAGCATTGATAGTAAAACTTCTAGGTTAATGCTGAGGGGATTCTCCACAGTGAGGGACACCCAGAGTGGTTCACAGAGTTACATGAAGAAGAGGAGAGGGAGAAAGGAGGTAGAGGTGAGCAGGAGGAGAAAAAGGGGGATTCAAGAGGAGAGAGACAGATCTAGGCAATACTCTGTTCCCTAAGTGTTCTCCACAGTCCAGAACACCCACAGAGATTCACAGAATTGGATTGAGAAGAGAAGGGGGAGGGAGGAAATAGAGGTGATCTGGGGGAGAAAAAGGAGAGTCAAAAGAGGGAGAGAGTAATCAAACCAATAATCACACTCCTGAGTAAAAATGGGTACTGAAGGTTGGATTCTTAAATGTCCAAAATTCTTATCAAATACTGAAAAACAAAGATTAAAAATCTAGAGTAGAGGTTAGACTCCTAAAAATATAATATTAAAAAAACAAAAACAAAAAATTTATGAAATATGTATGAAGTTCACTTTAAAAATAGGGTCCTTTTTTTTTGCCAGGTTATAGTGGGTTATAAAAATGAAAATTAAGGAGTAATAGAGGACTTTAAAAAAAAGAGAAAAAAATTTTTTAATTAAGAAAATAATAATAGTAAAAACACATCTAGGAATTTCTCTGGAACTGTTGCAGGCAGTGTGGGTTCGGTTCAGTTTCAGGTAGCTCCTTGTTCCAGCTTACACTTCTCAATATCTATAGGCCCCTTCCAGTGTAGTTGGTGTTAGCTACAGGGATTTTAATCTGTTGCACTGGTCACTTCTAAAATGGTTCCCTTTGTTTATTTGGCTTCTGTTTGCAGGTCTCTTCAGTGTCTAATTTCCGCCCTGACACAAGCGGGCAGAGGTGGTCTCTTGTTTATGTTCACTTGTTCAGTCGTGCTGCGGGGAGGGAGGGGTGCTGCAGACAAATATCACTGGTGTGTGGGGGGAGCACTTGCAGTGTTCCGGCCACACTGGGTTTGCCCCCGTTCATGGCGCGTGTGCTTTCCCCGTCTACACTGCTCAGGCTCCAGGCTGCTCTCCAGGGAGCGGGCTCTGAGTTGCGTGCACTTCCCAGGCCTAAGCCGCTCAGGTTCAGGTTCTCGGGTACTCCACAAAGACGCAGACTCGGTTGGGCCTGCGTTTTGTGCCTTCCCCGGTGGGAGCAGCTTAGGCGACCAGGAGCTCGAGGAGCACACTCTCCCCGGGTGCTGTGCACCTTATCCCCTAGGCAGTCCCAGCCTCAGTTTCCAAGCGTGCCGGTCCGGTGCGCCTTGTGTCTCTTCTGGGGAGCTGATCTCTGGCTGCGACCCTCCTGGCAGATGACAACCATCCAGAATCTTTGGTTAGAAACTAGAAGCCTGTTTGCAGTTTGGTAGGGGATGCCAGTCTCTGGGGCCAAGTTTGCCCCTTTCCCCTCCCCCCTGCCTCCTGCCTCCGGTGGGGGATGGGCCGGTTCGAAGCCAGCTAGCTCTTCTCTGGTATTGCTCAGTTCTTTGTTCTGGGAACAGGCGGGTATTGCCTTAGTTTAGGGATTTTTCCCAGGTTAATTCTCTCTCTCTTGCTATCCCACAGTTTAAGTTGCTATCTCACTGTTAGCTCCCTCAGATTGCCCTCAGGGCATTCAGACCCGGTCCTTACCTAAAAGCAATGCCGCCCGCTCCTCTCCGTTTAGCCCCCACTTGCTGGTGGCGGATGCGGGCGTCTGGGGTACTTTTCTGCTGGGAGTTGCTTTTAGGCATGTATTTTATTTCTTTTTCCTCCCCGTTAGGTTGCCCTCCGAGATTCGAAAACTTCCACCAGACCCAGGGTTTCCTGGTGTTTGGAAACTTCCTCTTTCAAGACTCCCTTCCCGGGACGGGTCTCTGTTCCTAACTCTATTGTCTCTCTTTTTATCTTTTATATTTTTGTCCTACCTCCTTTCGAAGACAATGGGCTGCTTTTCTGGATGCCTAATGTCCTCTGCTAGCGATCAGAAGTTGTTTTGTGGAGTTTGCTCAGTGTTGA